TAATGGGCAGCTTACCTCTCCCTGCTGCAGTTTACCCCCGTAAGGGTAAAACATGCAGCTTGCAGCCTTTGTTTTCTGGCTGCCTAGAAATCTGCACCACTCATTTGGCTTATAATTGCATTTCTACCCTTGGCTCAGCTGCACACCTACACAACCAGGCTAGCCTGCTGTGCCTTTCCCTTTAAATAACAGGGGTCTTTGGCTCCCTATTACACTGGTACAGGGGAAGCCTGGGATTGGGCTTCCCCTGCACCATCAATAACATGATGGGATCTGATTTGCAACCCCACAGACACACCTGCCATACACGTGTGATATGGCAGGAGGCAATTGTTTGTGGATTATGCATTGGATCCCAATACACCTTTGCCTGCATATGTAGAGGGGCCTAGAGACATTGGTCCGGGAAACAAATGTACTTTTAAAAAAACAGTGAAGAGTTGGACAGAAAGACGAGTAGATAGTGCCCAACCCCTATTGGCATGACTGTACCATTGCTCAATCCTTTATCAGTCAACCACATAGCACCAGGTCCCAGAGCTATTTTGTTATTTTAAAAATGAATATATAGCTTTAACCTATTTGCACAAACTTTTATATTTAATTTCCTTTTATATAAGATAATGTTACCTTTACAGTGGTTCCAGTTGGGCTTTGAAGTTTACACTTCACTGTCACTACACTGTGGAGCTGATAATCATAAAAGAAAACCATCTGCAAACTTGAAGGCTTGCAGCAATGCAGTCCAGCTCTGGGCCACAAAGTGTAGAAAGAAAAACAAAAGAAAACAAAAAATACTCTAAAACTAGCTTTTTTCAAATGAAGGCTTAGAATTTGCAAAGTTGGCAGCCAACAAATTATAATAAGAGCTTCCTAGCAGGAGGCCAATCTTTTTATTTCATCATTGATTTTCCCCTCACACTCACATACATTTTTAATGCAAAATTAAGGGGTTTTAGGAGCTGCTAACCACGTGTGCTTTACTGACAGTTCCTGCTCTGACAGTCCCCTTCTGCAAACCTCTTCAGTATTTGCTAGGGGTCAGAAAGAAACTGATGTCTTTACTCCAAGCATCTACCTGCAATTTATTTAAATTTTTTTTTTCCTGCAAGAGCAAGTAGACCCTATTGCACACTATGACCAGGTTGCTATTCAGACTTCACACTTCAGGCCCTTTTTTTGCAAAGGCCTCTTCAAGGAAGTTCTGATTCCATTTTTTTTAAAACAGCATGCAAGTGCTCTGTTGTTTTTCACTCCATCGTATTTTTTTTAAAAAATTGGAGACATTTTAGTGGAACTTCACAGGAATAAAATCACCAACATTTCATCCCAAACAGTGAATGTTTTAGGAAGGCACAGAAAGCCAAAAATATGGTGTTTAACTTGTAAAATGTTTTGTAATCTTAATCAGAGTGAACACAGTGATCTGATGCCTAATTTTTAGATCTGAAGCCCTGCCTCAGTTTCCAGGTCAGTTTATTTCTTTAAAAAATTTGAAAGGGGGCTTGATACCATTAAAAATAAGTCCCAAGGGTAAACTGGTATCTGGTAAATTTAAGGAGCAGCTGGACCACCCTGCTAGCTCTATTGGCTAGCTTTGGAGCTCTATGTAGAAGAATCCCACATCTAATGAATCCTGAGCAAAATAGTAAATACCTGTGACTTTGTCAGGAGTTGGCCAGGATGATGGAGTTATCATCCTGTTTCACATTGAGAAACAGAGCAGAGCGTGCTTAAGGACCCTGATGGCCAAGGAATTGGTTTTGCCTTCCAGCTGAAAGATGGGACCTCCTTCAGCACAGTACCGTGAGCAGCAGGCTAGGGCAGGGATTTTCAACCGGGGGTACTTGGGATCGCCTCAGGGGGTACTCTTCCGCCGCTAGCACTTCTGCTGCTGCTGTGCCACTGGCAAAGTCACGGATCGGCTGCTGGTGGACTCCCCTTCCCCCCACTCGTCTGGCTGCTGGGGGACTTCTGCCTTCCTGAGAAAAGAGATACGGCAAGGGAGGACAAAGCAATCCTGACCAAAATCTGATAAACTGTCTCCAGGGTGACCCAAAAAGTTTGAAAACCCCTGGGCTTGGGCATTGTGTCAGCACTGATGGAGAGGGAAGTGTGCCTGCCTCACGTGTAAAAAAAAAACCAAAACAAAACAAAACAGACAAATAAATGAGACCAAATTATATTTCACTTCTCTGTAGCATCATCTGCACATACTTACAAAGTAATTCTCATGAAGTCTCAGTGTTTAAATCTTTGCATACTTAGATCCATTCATCCTTTCATTTAGAAATGAGGGCAACAGTTTAGCATCTTTCCATTGCATGGTCAGACAGGCCTAAGCTGATATAAGTGTGCACTCCCTTCTTTTCATCTCTAGCAAAGTTCCCCCAAGGGAAAAAATAAATGGGCGTGTGCCAAATAACAAAATGTGAAACTTGCCACAGTCAGCTATAAAACAGTCTCTTTATTAGGAACAAAACCAGCATCGAAAAAGAAAACTGCAGCCAAACATAAGCATACATGGGAAAAAAATTACAATGCAAAAGCTGCATGAATCCCCTCTGGCCCTTACCCTGTGACAAGAGACATCTTTGCCCAAGTCCTGTACCACTGTGTTGAGAAAGCAAAGGGAAATGGTCTTGTATATCCACCTGCAGGGACCCAAGGCTGGCTGGCATCTTGGCCTTCCACCAGACTCCATTCAAATAAGCACCTCCCAGAAACTGGGCCAGAACAGCAATGCATGGGGAACAGCAACTCCAGGGCACACACACACGCACACACATTCTCACACAACTGATGTCAGCAAGGAGTTTCCTGAAGCAAAAGAAGGGAAAGAAGGACCTTGCAGGGATCCTGCATCATAAACTACCCACAGAAGGAAAGTTCTCTTTCCTTTTATTTACTGGATTGCAGGAAACATCAGTTCAGCTCCAGACTATAACCTGCTTCCAAACTCTCAGTAACTGAAGCATCTCAGAAACTTTCCTGTAAAATATGGAGCATCAACAGACACTGGGGGTAGGCACCATCTCAAGGTTGATGTCACCCTTTTTTCTGTAATTGTCTGCCTACAAGTGCAGCAGACAAACACAAACCAAAGAACTGCCTGCACTTCCCTGGCACTCCAAATGCCCCTTGGGCCCCCACTGCACGAGAGTGGTAGGGGTTCCCATGAATCCCTAGGTTTCACCATGGAGCACAGGGTATAGCATTGCACACTGGGTGCCATGCACTCTGCCTCATGTGTTCCAATGAATGCAATTGTCTCTGAGAAACATTCAGACAAAAGGGCTATCACTAGTGTAGAGTTATGGTGTTCAACCTCTGACTGTGGAACAGATCCAGCCCACAGAGCCTTTTCATCTCACCCACAGGATCCAGAAATTTGGCAGCAAGAAGCAGTGTAGCACTAACTGCTGTGAAATTTCTGGACCCATGGGCTGTATAAGGTGGCCCTGCATGCTAGATCAGGCTGGCCTGTTGGGTTTCTCCATGGCTTGATCCAGATGCGCAGGGTCAGGCTAGTACACAACCAGATCCAGCATGCAGGACTGAGCCAGCACACTGGATCGCTCCTGTGGACTAAACTGGCACCACTCATCTGGTGGGCAGGGCCAGAAGGTTGTGTACCACTGGTGTAGAGCTTTCCCTTAAAAATGGACCTAAAAGATCTTTCAGTTAAATATGCATTTCTCTCTAGCACCTAGCCTGGAAGGGAGGGACTGCTTTGCTTCTTTTCTGTTTATCTGATGATTGTAGACAAGAGGTGCTAGCATCCAAAAACCACAACTCTCCTGTTTCCGTACAACACTGGTATGAATGTAACTGAGCAGTGATGAAATGGAGGAAACCAGCACCCAAAGTGGTGAAGCTGCTGCGCTGATTTCTCCATCATGGTAGCCTTACCAGCAGTATCAGTGCTGCACTGCAACATTTGCTTTTTTCTATCATGCTATTCCAAATGGTGCCCTTACATGCAGTTTTTCCAATGTTCCTCATTCCTGATCATCAGCACCTATCTTTATTCTTACTTTGATACCAAGATCCTCAGCTCTGAAAATGTATCACAGGCCTGGCCTGCAACACGGGCTGCTATTCCTCCCTTCAACTTCCATATAAGTTTGCAAATGACCCTCATTTCCACCCTGCAGTGCCAGCTGCAGCCTTAATCACAGGCCCCTATTCTCTCTCTCAGTCAGAACACTTGTTGCGCCATTCCTCAGTCTCTTCTAGGCAAAGTAAATGTATGCAATACAGAGCAGCTCTAGAGTGAAACCCACTTAAGGAATTATCTAAACTACCACTGTCAACACAGATAACGCAGAGTAAAAAAAGTCCAAATATACACAGCTGGCCAGTTCACTCAGTCTGGAATAGCCAGACTGTTACATTTTAGGTATTTATGCTCTTGGCCCTCCCCTGTTAGACGGTGACACCAACCAGCTTCTCAGAATCACAGACACAAGCTGCAACAGAGCCCTTTTGATAGAGGCAAGCAGTCCAAATTGACCTTCTGTCAATCACTCATCTCAATATTCAATCAATACTCATGGCTACCTGTAGGTCAGGCAGCAATGCAGTATGCACATGATGATTAATCATTATCTTGCATTATGTACAACAGTCACAGTTGGTATCATATTTTTCAGCTTCACGTAACTAGTGAAGGTTCGAGGGAAAAGGGGTTGGAGGTTAGAAGTTTGGTCCAGATAGGCACCCGAAACAATGGTGCTTATCTGGGCCTTCTCCTAAGCTCTTAGATGTGTAAAACATGTTGGGAAAATCTCATGAGAACAGGCTCTCTCAGGAGACTTCTGTCATGCACCTGTTTTGGACTCAGATTAAAATGTTACATCAATCCTCATTTCAGGCTGGGCACCATCCAAGAATATTAAAAGGGCAAAATGTGACAACTGTAGGGGGGAAAAACCTGCCCAGATTGTTTCAGAACTTTACAAAAGGCATCACAGCTCATGTGCAATTCTATAAATAGGCAAAGGCTCAGGGAGCTTGGAAAGTCTTATATATGCCTGGACTTGTTTGCCCCATTGCTAATGAGAGCAATGTGCTTTAGCCACAAGGAAAGTTTAAATGAGGTCATCTCATGGACATGGCCCCTCTAATTCAGGGATTATTTTTCAGACCAATTCTGATGTGGAATGTGACTAAGGAATGCAAAAGGCAGGGCACTGAGTGTGTCTGATCAGGGGTCAACAGGACTGGGGAATGAATCTGACTCCATTTCCTGGTTTTCAATGTCGACGGCAACCTCTGCATCCAGTTCAGACTTTGCCTCTGCCTTGGACTTGCCTTCCATCGTGGGATCTGACTCAAGGCTTTGGCAGGCCCCTGTACCTTCTGGAAAAGAAGTGAGAAATAATTTTAAATACTTCTCCTGTCTTAACACCACCTGTGCTGAAATCATCCCCCAAGCCATTGGGAACATGCATGAAGAAACATACACAGAACATTTAGATCAGTTTAAGCCTTAAATGAACAGATACACAAGTCCATTAAACTGGTTTAAAGCCACCTGGAATGGTTCAAAAGTGCAACTAGAAAAATCAAGTACTCTTTGGAACTGGTTCATTGTTATGTATGAAGGCCAAGAGTTTCATAACATAGACCTGGTTGGTCTTTCAGGAAACCCACACTGCATTGCTCCTCAACCTGTTGCTTGGCCAATAAAAGCTCTCTAACAACCAACTGTGTCCTCATTCCCCACTTGACTGAGGTCTCTCTTTGTGGCTCCCCCACGTCTGGGAACACAAAAGCACGGTCCAAGTACACCCTTTCTTCATCTCTCCTCTGACAAGTCAGGCAAGAACACTGCACACTTTGGTCAACTGTAGGCTATTAAAATGTATTGAACTCTTGTTTAGGAGAGAAGGGAAAGCACTAAAGTGAAAATGTCTGCAACCACAGGTCATCATTTCCTGGCACCCTCAAATCTTAGATAAAAGCATTCCACTTTCCAACTTACCTGCCGCAAGGTATGCTGAGCTGAGTGATCTTTTTGGTGTCAAGAGCCACAGCACTTCAATGCCTAATAGGTGACTCTTCTCTATGAAATGCTAGGGCACTGTATATATATGGAAACCTCTAACCAACAACAGTTGTGAACTTGTTCCCAATCAGTGACATTTGGGAAATGTTCGGTTGTTATTTGTGTCTACGTCCTTTTGTCATCTCTGGCCTGGGCTATTGCAACTCCATCTTTCTGCATCTCGGCACAGGCAGATGCTAGATGCACTTTCTGACAGGAATGGAAAATCAGAACTGCATCACCCCCATTCTGCACACAATTGTACCAACTCCCCTTTCAGCTGAAGATGTTCAAAAGCAGACACCCTCAGGGGAAGGGCAGCAGGGTGGGAAGCCCTGAGCCCACAGCAGACAGCCCGCTTCCTCCCCCTGCCCCGCAAGGGGCTCCAGTCTAGCCCTGCCACCTGTGGGGGGAGGGAGCATTGATCTTGTCTGCATCATTTTGGGGCTGCAAAAAATTTCCAATATTTAAATAGGGTTATGCTGAGAAAAAGGTTGGAAGCACTGGTCTAATTCAAGAAAGTAGAACTTGCACTTAAATATCCTTGAGTCCAACAATATTTAAATATGTGTTCAGAGCTAATCACATTTGAAGTACTGTCCAGAATAAGGATGCTTTCCAGAAGCAGGATCGATATTAGTGTAAGCCTCTCTTAAAAAATATACCGGATAAGCAAAGCAGGGAGTTAGGATTGCAGTAAAACCTGAACACTTTTTCTAAAGATATATGTTAAAATGAATATTAAAGGGAATGTTAAAATGAATGAGTCATCCTCGGCTAGCCACAACTCACTCCGAGGTGATGTGCTGCATTTCTGCTGCATTTCCTGGGGGTGTTATGGGCATGAGGCCACAATGCACCGGTGCAGCATAGCACTGGGTGACTAATACACATAGTCACACACACAATACATAACCGGTGCAGCTTGTTGTATTGACAGGGCAGCACAGGGCAGCACTGCCGCTGATCACACAACAAATTATACTGCATCACACTCCAAGATATCTAGCCAGCTCTTTCCACCATCAATAACGCTGCTGTCCTCCACTTTCCTAAATAACTGATATATCAGACAAGCACAAAAGAAAACACTGTACCTACCAGGATGTAGAGGGCTATCAGCTTTGGCAGATGGAGCCTCATGATTTGGGGGGTACTTTGCTGCTTCCTTGGCTGTGCCTGAGAGTGGTATTCCCTCTTCCTTTTCTTCCTCTGTAAAAAATCATACAAGAGACTTGACTGAAGCAGGTCGCCCATGTCCCACCCTCCTGGGAGTAGTCCTTGTGAGGCCTGATCAATGACACTCATCTTTGTCTTCCTCTCACATGGCCCCTGCTCCAATCTCAGAACATGCGACCTTAAGCTTCTGAATGGAATCAAAAGCCTACCAGCACTTGGAGAGCTGACGTGCTCACAACCTACGGTAGCATGGCTGTATCACAAACAGCATAGCACAAAAGGCTCCGTCCTGACAGTGGACCCAATGGGCCTCTCTGCCTCAGGCCCAGACTGAGGAGTACTGCTTAATTAATTTTCTCCGAGTAACGCTTTACCACACTGTCAGCATGAAGAGCTCCTGCTATCAAATTTGAGGAGGATTTTTTTTTTCCTGGAACCCATCAGCAGATGTTTCCCCTTCAATAAGCAGGTTCCTGCAGAGCTCTGCTTCCTTGGGACAAGGGGAGGAACGATAGGACAGGCCTAGCCACAAGCTCTATGCAACACCTAGGGGAAGCTGTATTAAGTTCAGCATTTCAGGTAGTAGGGCTTTGTTCACCTTCTTCTGGGACAAAGTCTTCTTGGCCAAGTAGAAGTTAGCAGAGAAATTCCCACTCACCTGAAGGCACGGGGATGAATTTGTAGTTGCTTTTCATGCAGCAGCATGTTATTGCAGACACAATAATGGCCAGGAGAATAGCTGCCCCTCCACTTCCTGCCACAATGTAAAAGAACCACGGGTGCTTCAGTAGGTCTCCTGCATGAAGGAGGCAGCATGTTAGGCAGAGGAACGGCGGGTGAGCAGGTTTGTTCTCCCTGGCTAGAGAATCCCAGAAACCAGACTGAAGTCAGTGGGGATCACTGAGAAAGCAAGTAGTTTGGGGGGATTAAAGAGAAAGGATGAACTATGTGATGCAGTCTTATTTCACAGACTTTTCTCTTTATTGCCTTTCCCAGTCCCATGAGACCAGGACTGCAGATGGCCAACAGAAGGTCATAGATGGGTTGGCAAATATAAACCAGCACAGCAAGGGGAGAAGGAGAAGGGAGGACTGCCAGCTACACACATTTTGCTGGGAAGCAAATGTACTTTTAAAAAGAGACAGATTTGGATAGGAAAAGTAGACGGCATAATAGGCTTAGACAGAAAGTGAGCCTTTCAAGTATTCCTTCTCCATGAATGCAACCTGCTTAGACTTCAGGCATTCAATAGCAAAAGTTCTTTCTTCCAAATATGATATACTTCAGGGGCCACATTTAACCCTGCTATAAATTCTCTGATGCCAAGGGAATTGCTTCAGAATAATTCTACCCCATTATTTCCCATTTAGTCCCTTACACACTATTCTTACAGCTTGAATTGTCTGCAAGTCTTTCTCTCCATGTACGTAGCTTATCTAGCCAATTACAGTGGCATGTTATGGTACCTTGTATGGCCGGTTAATAGTCAGTCTATCTAGACTAGTGATTCTCAACCAGGGTGTTGTAAGATCCTCTTAAGGGTGTCACACAATATTAGAACTGTTAGGTGTGCAAACACCTACAAATAATTCACAAAGGCAAACCCAGAGATTTCAAATAGAAATCCATAGTGTCACAAACATTCTGACCTGCTGCAGTCTTTCTACATTCTTTGCAACACAAGAATTGCTCTATTATTTTTCCAGAGCTGAAAAATGAATAAACACTTAAGAGATGTCATTTTCCAAAGGCATATGTTGAGTCTAACAAGGGGTACCTTTATTCTGTACACCTCACTTAAGATTGCAGTGGCTAAACTTGATATAGGATGCCAAATATTTGAAATTACAATAATAATTACAGCTGGTCAAAATGTGGAAACATATTTACATGAAAATGTTGAAATATCATTTTTTCTGATTGAAAGGCTGGAAGGAACCTTGGAAGATCATCAAGTTCAGTCCCCTGCCCCAGGGGCAGGAAGTCAGCTGGGGTCATAGGATCCCAGCAAGATAAACATCCAAATGTCTCTTGAAGGTGTTCAAAGTGGGTGCTTGAACCACCTCCGGCGGCAGTCTATTCCAGACCTTGGGGGCTCGGACAGTAAAGAAGTTCCTCCTTATGTCCAGCCTGAAACGGTCATGGAGGAGTTTGTGATCATTCAACGTTGTCATCCCTTGGAGCGCTCTGGTGAACAGACGTTCCCCCAGATACTGGTGGTCACCCCTGATAAACTTATAGGTGGCCACCAGATCACCCCTGAGCCTGCGCTTTTCCAGGATGAACAGTCCCATAGCTCTCCTCCTCGCATCGTAAGGTCTGTTTTCCTGACCTCTGCTCATGCACGTGGCTCTCCTCTGCACCTTCTCAAGCTTCTCCACATCCTTTTTGAATTGTGGAGACCAAAACTGGATGCAGTACTCCAGCTGTGGCCTCACCAAGGCCGAGTACAAGGGGAGAACGACGTCCTGGCATTTGCTTGAGAAGTATCTATGCATGCAAGCCAGAGTTTTGCTCGCTTTACTAGCTGCAGCATCACATTGAAGGTTCATGTTCATTTTATGGTCAATTGTGACCCTGAAGTCCCTTTCATCCATCGTGCTAACTGCCGAGCCTTTGCAGGTTTTTCCTCCCAAGGTGGAGAACCTTGCATTTTTCAGTGTTAAACGCCATCAGGTTCTCATCCACCCATTTCCTGAGCCTGTCAAGGTCAGCCTGGATCACCCCCCTGTCCTCAGGTGTGGACACTTTACCCCACAGTTTGGTGTCATTGGCAAACTTGGCCAGTCCACTTCTGACACCAATGTCCACATCACTGATGATGTTAAATAGTATAGGCCCAAGGACAGCCTTGAGGGACCCCACTGGTCACAGGGCACCACGACAATGGACTTCCGTCAACCACCACCTTCTGGGTCTGACCACGGAGCCAATTCCCCAGCCAGTGGATCACGGTGAGGCCGAGGCCGCAGTTAGCCAGTTTTGCTAAGAGGTGATCATGGGATACCAGATCAAAGGCTTTTTTTAAGTCAAGATATATGACATCAATCTCTTCTCCTTTGTCCAGGTGATAAGTCACCTGGTCATAAAAGGAAATAAGATTGGTCAAGCAAGACCTACCTGAATAATCTCCTTTTTAAAAGAATCAGAATGTAAAATACATTTTTTAAAATATTTATCTGGAACAAATTTACTGAAGCTATTTTCAAAAGGGTTTATATACTTAAAATTAAGTTTTCAGCAGATAAAACATTTGATAACCATCGATTATATTATTCTTCAACAAACATGAATGTTTATTGGTAGTTTCAATAAACATTTGAGGGAATAAATCTAAAAAGACATGACTTTTTTTGAGAAATACACAAAAGTTCTGAAGATTTTTCCTACAAAAATGTATAGCAGCTTTAAACTGCCTGTGCATATTTTTGTTTGTTTAAAGTTTTTCAGCCTACTAAGAGAACTAATTTATCAAGCTGTCTTCAGCTCCCATGGCTTTCCCTTCAGATTCCCTGTAGTGATAGCCTGTCGTTGTACCTGAGAAGTTTACATTATTTTTGCCAATTTGTTTTATGTTAACATGCATCCAAGGTGAATTTTCTCTGTCATCAGTTTGTCCAGTCTCCCCGTGTATTTATCTACAGTAGGTAGCCTGAGGGATTTTATATTCATCTGTTCACCTGGATCTTGCACAGCTATTATTAAATTCCTTTGTGGGTTTCTGAATAGGAAACAGGAAACATATATTTTATTAAGGGACTCAGGTGGCCACACAGAGTGAACCCTAAACATAGCCAATCAAATACTTTATTGGTTTATCACAGGGCCTGATTGAGAGCCTGTAGATATCAATGGGAGTGCTTCCAATAACATCAATGAGTTTTCCATCAGGCCTACAATTAACAGCTGCTGATCAATCCATTAGGTGAAACTGGCTCATGCAATATATTCAGAAACTATGAACAATTTGGCAAACTAATAAAATTACAGTCTGTTCACAGACACTGGCCATAGTGAAAGAAAGCTAAATTCTCTAAAATTACCAGTAGTCGTGGTGAATTGTTTGCACAACATTAACGGTAATAGTTGGTGAGGAGATGTGTATAAGAGTAGGAGTTTTGCAGAGTAGGAGTTTTGAAGTGATGGGAGCCCAAAAAGGGTGGCTGTGCCTTAAGGAAATGATCCTTCAGGCACAAAGCGAGATGATCCCGATGCGAGGAAAAAGAGGGAAAGGGGCCAGGAGGCTTCCTTGGCTGACCAGAGAAATCCAGGGCAGCCTAAGGGCCAAAAGGGGAACACATAAAAAGTGGAAACAGGGAGAGATCACCAAAGACGAATATACCTCCTCTGCTCGCGCTTGTAGGGAGGCAGTTAGACGGGCCAAAGCTACCATGGAGCTGAGGATGGCATCCCAAGTAAAGGACAAAAAGAAATTGTTTTTTAGATATATAGGGAGTAAAAGGAAGGCCCAGGGAGGAATAGGACCCCTGCTAAATGGGCAGAAACAATTGGTGACGGAGAGGGGGGACAAGGCTGAACTCCTCAACGAGTTCTTTGCCTCAGTGTTCCTAAGCGAGGGGCACGACAAGTCTCTCACTGGGGTTGTAGAGAGGCAGCAGCAAGGCGCCAGACTGCCATGCATAGACCCTGAGATGGTGCAGAGTCACTTGGAAGAACTGGATGCCTTTAAGTCGGCAGGCCCGGATGAGCTCCATCCGAGGGTGCTGAAGGCACTGGCCGACATCATTGCAGAGCCACTGGTGGGAATATCTAAACGCTCGTGGTGCACGGACCAAGTCCCGGAGGACTGGAAAAGGGCCAATGTGGTCCCCATTTTCAAGAAGGGGAGGAAGGAGGACCCGGGCAACTATAGGCCAGTCAGTCTCACCTCCATCCTAGGCAAA